TATTATGAAATGAAAAATGCCGGCCATACAGTTGATTAAAGTTGAAGACAGTGGAATCGGTGTTTTTTAAGATTGTGGGAGAATTAAAGGCATATTTTAATAGATGTTGACAAGAAGTGAACTAACAAAAGCAAAGCAAAGGATTTGCTTGAAAAGATTTAATCAAACGTGTTTCTTGGGGGATTAATTGCTGGGGATGACTAGTGCAAGTGGCTGGCTGGTGGATGTGAATGAGGAGTATTGTTCTGGGGCCAGCGTATCGAGTGTCATTGTGACCTGCAGTTTAACTCCTGTCCCAGGGCCGCTGCAGAGGAGCGAGAATTTCCGCTCCTCATCTGGGCGTTCAGGTCAATACGTGGCCCCGGTGAAGATAATTTTCATTATGCAGAGCTATTAAAATGGGAAGAGGTTTGGTTTCTCTGCCCGTTTTTGTTGGTCTAAGGTGCCGGGAGCGTTGGATGCCGCGCGGGGTCTCTCCGGCGCTGGGCGGCCGCTCGGCACAGGTGTCGCTCCGGCTTTTCCGCGGCTGCGGAGCTGGGGAAGGTGAGAAGCCTGCGCTCCAGCAGCGTCCCCACGATGCCAGAGCCTGCCATTTAATTGAGGAAAAGTGGTTAATCCCCAGCGTAGGTTCGAGGTTGCACGTGGTGCCGTTCGCGTGTGTCCGGGGCCGCACAGGGACCTCGACCCGGCACGGGGAAATAACCTGCTTGGACTGTGTCGTTTCTCCCGGGAGAGCTCCCTGCTTCCTCCCCGTACCACTGTGACACATGGGAATAAGGTGTTTCTTTGGGAAGCTTTTGTGTCTTCCACAAGTGCTGGTGATACAGATATAGAATCTTGTGAAACAGGGAAAATCTCACTGAGGCACAGCACACGCCATCCACTGTCCCTAGCGCCCAGAGCCCCGGGGTGGCCGCAGTCTCGCTGCCGATGGCCCCATTCCGGGCTGTTTCCACCCGTTGGCTTGGCTTGAGGAGGCTAAACCCGCAGCTGCTCCCAGGCTATGTTTTACCTTTAAGTTTCCAAATGCTGTTTTTTCTTCTGCACGGGATGGAGTGAAGCCCTGGGAGTTTGGCCCCAGTTTGGATGATTCCCTGCCTGGGAATCGGCATTGTGAGGATGGGCTGCGTCGGAGCGCTGTGGGCAGGCAGGGGGTTTGGGAATCCCATGGAGCGGGTTTGGGAATCCCAGCGGCCGTTTCTTTCCAAATACCTCTGAAAATCTGGCCTTGGGGCACCTGCGTTTTCCCTTTGACCCCGAGCGTCTCCGTGTGAGGCTGCTCCTGCTGTGACCCACCAGCTGCTGCCGTCCGCGGCCGCTCGGGAAGAGGGAAGGAGCCCCCGTTTCCAGAGGGCGTGCAGAAGAGTGCCGATATTCTCCTGTGTGGGAAGCTGCCTCGCTGGGGAGATGCTCTGCAGAGAGGGACCTGGGCGTCGTGGTGGACAACAAGGTGGCCATGAGGCAGCAGTTGCCCTCGTGGCCAAGGAGGCCAATGGGATCCTGGGGTGCATTAAGCAGAGCGTCTCCAGCAGGTCCAGGCAGCGCAGGGCCACAAGGATGATCAGGGGCCTGGAACATCTGCCCTATGAGGAGAGGCTGAGGGAGCTGGGCCTGTTCAGCTGGAGAAGAGAAGGCTGAGAGGGGACCTGAGCAGTGTCTAGAAGTACCTCAAGGGAGGCCGTGAGGAGGATGGGGCCGGCCTCTTTTCACTGGTGGCACCGACAGAACTAGAGGTAATGGCCACAAACTGAAGCATCAAACGTTCCACAGGAAGATAAGGAAAAATTTCTTAACAGTGAGGGTGACAGAGCACTGGAACAGGCTGCCCAGAGAGGTTGTGGAGTCTCCTTCTCTGGAGATCTTCAAACCCGCTTGGACACAGTCCTGTGCCACGTGCTCTAGGTGACCCTACTGTGCAGGGGGTTGGACTAGATGATCTCTAGAGGTCCCTTCCAACCTTGAGCATTCTGTGATTCTATGCTGGATTTCCAGGGATGGGCAACGCTGGGGTCTCGGCGGTGGCTGGTCAGGCTGGTGGGGCTGGTTGCCCATGAGCCATGCAGAGGGGAACCGGTTCGTCGGTAAGAACCGGCATCGACTAAATTGATTTTTGTGGTTTGAGAGCAGTAGGACAGATTTCATCTCTGGTGGGTCTCCTGACACTTTGATACATGGCAGCGCTATCCCTGAATGGAGCTAAATACTCCAGGGCTACTTTCTGACTGGGTGAAGGGATGTATAAAATGAGAACGTATGAGAGAGTGTTAAGGGAGAGGCACGCTTTGATTTACTGATAGCGGCTCCCAGCTTTCCTGGTGGATTGATACGCTGTCTGCCGGATCGGGAACAACTTTCTCACTCCTCTGTCAGAACCAAGGGGCCCCCGTGGCTCTCGGCAGTGACTGGTACCGGTCAGCGTCTCGCCGCGGATGCTCCGCGTCCCGTTTGAGGTTGCGTCGCTCCACGGCGGCTGCCGCACACCCCTCTGCTCCTTGTCCTTTTTCCTTTCCCGACGGCAGGTTTGGAGCTGCTGGAAGGCAGGGCCGCGCTGTCCTGGGGTTGGTTTCCTCTCCTACGCACAGAGCGAGCGGTTGGTTTGGGCATTTTAGTTGCTTGTGTTGAAATGCCCAAACAGAGTCTGATCTTAAGGAAGTGCTGGGCTACCCGTCCTCCAAAAACACAACGTGGGGCACGTGCAAATAACTCCCGAGCACAGGGGCAGCTTGGGGGGTTTTCCTCACAGATGGTTTATGGCCCAGTGCAAGGGCAGATGTTAAGAACGTGAGCTGTGACACTGATAAACGTAGGGTAGAAAACTTGCTGCACGGATTGCGGGCAGATTCTGTGGAAGATGCAGCAGAATTGCCAGCAGGGAGAGGGGAGAAGGGGCAGGAGTGGTGAGGGCAGGCTCTGCCCGGGGCCCTTGCTCGGGCTGTGACTCGGGCTGCTTTCTGTCTGTGCAGGGAGCTGGGAGGAGATGGGACCCCCTGGAGATGGAGATAGGAGAGCGGGAAGAAAACGTCCGTCTTGGATTACGTGTGAAATGGATAGGGCAGGGCTGGGGGAGCAGGCAGGGGAGGGTGACGCTTGGTTTGGAAGTCGAGTTTACAGCACAGTTAAGCACCCAACAGCAGCAGTGAGAATCCCATCCAATAATGCTGTTAAATGCGCAAGAATTGAAAGCATGGAAATTACCCAGCTGTAAGAGGCTCATGATGAAGCCAGTGCCTGGAATAATTAGCCCTCCCACCTGGTTAGACACACGGACATTGTCTTCCCTGCCCTCTCCATCCCCTCCACTCCAAATGGAATTGCTTCCCATCCCCACTTCTGCTGGGCTCCGGATCCCCTCGCCTGCCTTTATTCCCTGCCTGCGCCCCCGGAAGGCTGGAGTGCTCCTCCGGGTGTAATTGGCAGGATCAAACCGCCCGGGCCACGGTGGCCGCGGGGAGCAAACAAGCAGCCCATGGGCCCTGGGGCCGCGTGGCCACGGCGCGGGCTGGCACGGGGGGCACAGCCTCTTGCAAACGATGCCCTCGCTTCAGGCGTGTACCACAAATGCCGTTTTTAAGGGCTTTTGTCTGTTTGTCTCCTCGAATTGTTTTGATGCTGGCACACGGCTGTTTTACAAGTATGGCAAGCCTAATCCGTTAATGGGTTTATATAGAACAGCTGTCAGTGTATCTATAATGAACCGTGGACGGGGGGAGGATAAGTCCAACTGCTGATCTGCAACAAAAATCTTAAAGTGTCTTCTCCTTGACATTGCTGTTACTGAGGTCAGGCCATAATTTATCTGAAGATGGTGACAACTGAGCAATATCACAGCGGCAACATGTGAGAGATTGAGACCTCTGGGCTGATTTCTGCTTGCACTGCCTTTGTCTGCTGATGAAGATTTGCTGCTCGCTCTAGCCATGATCTCTATGTCCCCCATTAAAAAAAAAGAAAGAAAAACAGGTAGAAAAAAAAATCAAGTGGGCATCTGTGCATCTACATGTGTGCAGAAAATCATCACCTGTGAAAGCTTTTGGGTGCACAGCATCAGACCTACCTTCAGGACCCGTGTCTGCAAATACCCTCAAAAGCAAATGCTGTTCTTCCTGAAATTCCAAAAACTAATGCCTACACCATGTCTTCATCCTTCCTGGGCACCCCTTCAGCCCAGTCTTTTCCTCGCTTTATTTTTTGAGTGCCATATTGGTAATCTTGAGGATGGGAGTTCCCCCTTTCTAAGAACCCCTGAGCCTGCAGTTCTGCTGTTCTGCTCAGAATCCTCTCATTAGCCCTGCCAGGTCGTTGTTTTAAGTTTCCCCCACAGTTCAGATCTTGCTACACTTAATTTTACTTACAGTCTAATTTCTTATCCCTCCTGCGTGGTGAGCACAGCGGCATAGAAAGCAGCAATAGTCACAGCCCTGCAGGAGCTCAGTTTTGCTGCTTGCCCTCCCTCCTCCTGCTCCCTATACCGTGCACATTATGATCAAGAGAGAAAAGTGAGAGGCCGCTTTGCATGGGCTGGATGTGGACACGTTTCCTTGTGCTGATTCACGCTCTTGCTCAGGAGCCGGCCGCCGTGGCCGAGTTTAGCACAAGAGAGAAGTGAACTAGTCAGCAAAAAGGTTGTTGTCATACGCACGTGTCCTCTGTCCCCTGTGCACGCACAGCTTGCAGCTTCCTATGCTGATCCTTCGGGAGCTGTAGCCTGGATGTTTGTCGATGGAGCGTTGGATCGGTACCGTCCCGAGGGGCGGCCAGGCAGGTCCCCCCTCTTTCCCGAAGAAGTGTTCTTCCTCGGAATGCTGCTGTTTGACAGTGCCACTTATAGGTCAATCTGAAGTTAAACCAACGTCTTTAACTGGTTAGAAAAAGCATTTAATGAGACCTGCAGCAGCTGTGGCAGAAATGCAGGCTCGAGAGGAGGAGCTGCACACTGCAAAGCCAGGTCTGCACCAAAGGCCCGCGTCAGCGGTAAACTCACTGGTGTCTCTGTTCTGCAGGTTACAAAGCCCTGGAGGCGTTGCTGAGAACATTAGTGGAGCTTCAAGATGAGCTGCTTTATCAATACCCGGGCACCAGGCATCTGGTAGACGGAAAGCAATCCAAAATTGAGAGGTGAATACAAAATAAGGCAGGACCTTTCCAGGTCCTTTGGTCTCCAGCTCTTTTAAACAGGAAAATGTGCAGCCTTCCTGACCGTGCTCACTCTCTGCTGTTCTCTGGGCTGCTGCTGCATCTGGGTGACAAACGCTGGATAAATGGCCTTTGGAAGCCCTCCTGCCTGAATGGAAAGTCCATTTTGTTACTCTCCATTTCAGTCCGTTTCTGAGAGCAAAGGAGGGGCTGAGCTAGGGGGGTTTCCACATAAGTACCACCATGGGGTGGAAGGAGCATGAGCTCCAGTGGAGGAGCAGCTAAGAACTCTGCGTGTTGCCTCAGAGAGATGCAGGGTGCTCAGTATGTGTATTTTTGTTGTAGCGAAGATGAAATCCTCAGCAGTAGCGATGAAGAGAAAGTGGATGAGGCTCAGAAGAAGAAGAGGGACGTCCCCAAACGAAAGCTCAAGATGGAAGACTACCCAGAATTTGTGGCCAAGCGCTTTGCTGACTTCAGAACATATCGGAACAACATCTTGCAGAAGTGGCATGAGAAGACAAAGTTGGCATCGGGCAAAATGGGAAAGGCAAGTTCATGTGTGCTGACATACTTCTCAATTAGCAGAAATTTGTGGGACAGAAGTATTCGCTCATGGATGTTCCATGTTAAGCCCAGAATTATGACAGTAAGAATTAAATGTACATGCTTTATTCTGATCTTAAAGAGTTTGCAAAGAAGCAGCCCTCAAATTTCAAAGGCTTAAGTTGTTCCCCTTTCTTTTGAAGGGCAACAAAAAAAACCTCTCAATGGCAAGTTGTTTTCAGAGTTTTTTTTTTTCTTTTTTTTTCCTGCCCTTTTGGGTAGCAGTGGTGTTCTCCCAGCTAGCTGTCTCAGCTCAGCCACCCTGCAGGAGCAGGACAGCTCTTTGAAAATGTCACCGCTGCTGATCAACAAGCTGCTTGTGTTTTATAACAGAACTGGAGACTTTTGTAGTCTTCCTCCTCACCAAAGTGTGCATTTTAATTCGATGGGTAATCATTCCAGCCTAAGATCCAGGCTCTGCTAACACGTGTGAATTTATTGTTAGTCATTGGGAAGTTTAGCTGAACCAAGACAGCAAAGGCACTTTATTAAGCCAGGCCTGAGGTTGCCTCAAATTGGGAGAGGAGGGTGAAACAAAACACAAAACAAAATCCCTGCAACAAACCCCAATTCCCCTCCTTTTGGGATGCTGTCTGCTTATCCACTGACATGGAAAGATAGAGGAACATTGCTGCCTTGAGGAAAAGCTTTCTGCATTATCTGACACTAGTTAATGTTGTTGCAGGGTTTCGGTGCCTTTGAGCGTTCAATCTTGACTCAGATTGATCATGTTATGATGGACAAAGAGAGATTACTACGGCGGACGCAGACCAAGCGATCAGTATATAAAGTGCTTGGAAAGCAGGAACAGGAATCTCATCCAGTCCCTGAATCTTTGCCAGAAAATTCGGTAAGGGTGTTTTGTTTATATAACTGATCCTTTAGAAGCAGTAAAACTCTGCAGATCAATTAGTTTGAGCCTTTAGCTGCTGATATTCTTGTTTGTGAGAGATTTATGAAGGAGATGAGTGAGTGTTGATTCTTATAATGTAATGGATAAGAAGATGATGTGAAACACTGTGTGTGTGTGTTTGCAGTATCACCTGTGCCAGTGACAGGCTTGGTGCTCTTGGTACTTGGTGCTTTGTCTTTACTCTGGAGCTGAGAGTCATTGGCATAGAAAGTCACTTCTAAGATCATACTGTATCTACCCTGCAGTGTATGTCTGCTATTAATTTAGTATTTAAGAATGAATAAACACTCGATTCTGGGAGATCATATAGAATTATGCACTTGCAAGATGCCTATTTTTGCCATTACATTAATAAAATGACTCTAATACTTTGACAAAAAGACTTTTTACACTCCTATTAATTTCCTGGTAAAAGAATCGTAAATCTATATTGGCACTGGCAGGTTTTCTGCCTTGCCTTTAAGTGTCTTCCTAGTCTTTAAAAGCCTGTTATGATGGGAGTTGTTCTCTAGTTGTTCAGATCGCTGGGTGTTTGTAACTGCTACACGCAATGTCATCAGGATTAGGGATGGAAACGTGCGCGTGCAAGTGCTCAGTGTTGTCTCTGTGCTCCTAGGAAGTCCTCCCGCAGACAGATTCCAACAGGCACCTGAAGGACATAGACGAGGAGATATTTGATGATGATGACTTTTATCACCAGGTAGGTGACAGTAGATCGGTGTTGGAACTATGGCTCCAGTTTGTTTTTGATACTTACAGAGTTAATGTGGTCAGCTTCTAAATCTCTAACTTTCTCTGGCCAACAAAACTCAGTTATTTGGCTTAACACCTGAAATCCCTGTAGGTACCTTTTTTTCCTCCCCAGGTAAGTTTTCAACACTCTTCCAACCCTACCACTGTTGAAGTCCAAAGAAATTTTTACAGTAGCCCTCATCAAATGCAGAATTAGGATTGTGCTAAAGACAAATTGAACGTTTAAGCTGCGGAGGGGTCTGCTCAAGGCATCCTGCTTCAGAGGTGGGAATGTATTCCAGGCTACCTCCTCGTCAGGTCCCTGTGTTTACTGTAAGAGCTTCTCTGTTAGTATTGCTGGGAAGCATTGCTGGAGCAAGCGAGTGTGGTGGGTTCATCCACGTAGCCCTTAGAAAGGAGGTGGGAGTGCATTTCTCCTTGGCAGCAGTAGTGGATGAGTTAAATCTGACGCAGCAGTGAGATAATATGGAGGTGAAATTTGTGGTCCAGGTGGATCCAGCTTTGAGGTCTTAGTGGACTGTGAGGACAGAGAACAAATTAAGTCATTTTAATAAAACAGTGAAATGTTCAAGGAGAAACAGCTGTGATTGACAGTCCTTGGATCTGTGCTGTGAGGTACTTATTGGCCATGAAATGCTAGATTTTTTACAAGAAAAGTAACAAGAGATGGATGGCCCTTTTTCCCTACTAATAACTTTAACTTCGATAAATTCTGATTTCAGAGTTATGACTAGTCACAGCTTAGCTTTTCCCCTCACTGGTTAATTGGGGTGCTAGGGTTAATCTAAATTAAAACTTAAACTAATAGAGGTCATTGAGAAAAGAGAATCACCTGAGTAAAACAAATGGGTCTGCCAGGCACAACTGAATCTTGGCCATTTCCCAAGAGGGAAGTGGCAGCAAATTGGAGTTGTTTCAGCATTCTGCAGAGGTGAGTGATGGGTGACACTGGTTTAATGTACGGCGTGTGCGGAAGCGCTCCAGATTGCATTCCTTGCGGTACCAACTGCTGCCACCCGCGCGCTGTGAATAGGAGCACGACCAGCCGACAACATCTGGCAGCACAGCAAGGAATGGGTGCAGCTCTCGACACCCCATAGACTCTAAATATGGTGCTTAGCCTGGTGGAGGCTTTAATCACTTACCACTGCTTGGCAGCGGGCTACGACAGCTTATCCTAGCCTCGTACATCACGCACAGACATCTGCTGAGCCGCGAGGCAGCTACACATTCATTTTCCTTTTTTTTTTTTTCCTCTCTCCTTTTTTTTTTCATTTATATATATATATATATATCTCCCTCCCTCCCTTCCACCCTTCTCCTCTCCTCCCGTCCCCAATATGCTTCTTGGGAGAGATGATCTGTGAAGATTACCGCTTCATTGTGTGCGAGTAATTGTGGGGATGCCAGCCCCTTGACAGACACGGCGCGGCACCTGTGCCGCTGACCTGCTTAATTTCTGCTCTTGAGTGGGATTTGGCAGAGATTGGAGCCGTGGCCAATTCAGCGATAAGGCTAAAGAAAATGGCTGTATGTTTTCTGTCACCTCCCAATTAAATTGGTTTCATAAAGTGCTTTCCTTTATTTGTCAGGGTGGTAAGCTGGAGCTGAACATTACATTCAGCGCGGGGAGAGCGCATTACAATGGAGCGCTGACAATGCAGCCAATGTGTTTCCCTTCAGATGGGTCATAACTGTGCAGCTCTTTTGTGCGTGGGGTGTGTGTGTGCACATACATAAATAAAATGCACAAAGGGAACTGGCTCTTCAGAAGTAACGAGCAGCAACAGCTCTGATTATCAGAGCTGAGGTTGCTCAGAAACTCTGACCTCTGTGTGCAACACTTATTGCAAAGTGTGTGGATACGTTTCAATAGGTACTTTTCTCTTTGTATTTAAATTTAGATCCAGATCTTTTTTTTTTTGAGTCACTTTTCATTTTTCTAAATAGCATTTTGTAATAATTAGTTTATGTTGATGGCTGTTTAGGATTTGGTAAATGTGAAAATTCTGATAAAGAAGGATGTGAAAACCCAACTTTATGTATTTTTGAAAGGAAATTGAGCAACCAAATATGACCATGACCTGCTGAAAGTGTACAAGTTGTGACAAGAAAAAGAATAACATTCCTATTTTGTTACAGTTTATATCCAAAAGTCTTTAATGAGTCTGTTTTCTTTCTGCGTGTAAACAGGCTTTACTGGGTATACAGGCAGCTCTTAGTGTTGATGGAATTCACCATGTAGCACAGGTGGAATTTTAAGAAGATTCAGGATTGAACTCTGCTCTGTTCATCCCACTTTGCCTTTTCTCATATTCCTCAGTTGTTTTATAAGCAGTTATAATTTTTATTGTGATGACCCGTATTAAATGGCAATATAAAGCTGAGCTGAATAATGCAAGTGAAACAGGTTTTTATTTAGGTTCCACTAGATGGGAATAGTTTAGTGGTTTCAAGAGATCCTCGTTACTGACAGCAGTGAGATGCTAGACTCCATTTCCTTTTCCTCTAAACCCTGGTTCATACATGCTTTTAAGGGAAGAAAAAGACTTTTTATTTTTAGAAGTCGTATTTACGTGAATTCATTACAGCCGATATTGCAGCATTAAGACTTAAAATTCCAGCCTGCAACCAGAGAGCTGCTGGTCTGACATGCTACACTGGAGATTTTATTATTAGGTTGAAATACTCCTCTAGTAAAGGAGAGAGTTGAAATTGGTTTATTTCCAACAAGAATTAGGTTAGCGTTCATATGCTAAGCGATCCGTTGGTAGCAGCTCTTCCCAGAACAAATGTTCATCACTGGTGGCAGCAGGTATGCCTAAGGAGAATTAAGAATATGCATAATCTCTCTTTTTTTATTTCTTTCCTGCACTTCTGCTCCCTCCTTCCTCCGATTTCAGCTGTTTTGTATTTATAAAGACTTGCAGTCGTCGATCTTGTTTGTGCCGCGACTTCCAGAAACAAATCTGAGTCGAGGAGGGTGAGGGACGTGCGAGGAAGGCCCCGTGCAGCCGGGTGCCGCAGGAGAGACGCGCTCTCCAGGTGGGCACGTTTAAGTAGCAAGGGACTGGCTTGCTCCGGTTCTGATCTACACCACAGTTGTTTTAGCAGAGGATTTGATGCAAAGAACACTTTGATTTTTGGACTTGGGACTTTGAGAATCGGCGTGGTGCCTGCACCCTCTGTGCGACAGAGGTGCTCCAAAGCAAGCGGGAGTTCTGGACAGTTTTATAACATCATTGGTTGCCCAGCAGTCCTGCTCGAATCAGAGTGACCACAGAACGAACTTCCAACTCTGAATCTCGTGTGAAGATACTTGTAGCTATTTATTTTTCTTCTGGGTTGTACGTATGTCTAACTACATCAGTTGGCTTTTTAAGAAACTTAATTGGATGGGGTAAGTACATCCTCCTGTGCTAGGAAGAGTAGGTCTGAAGCAGTTCCTGGGCACATACTGTGTTTTTTCTCTCCAAGGTATCTGATAATGCCATAAACAAGTAATTACTAATCCAGTGAACTATTAAAAGTCGATAATGGTGAAGAATAGAGAGAAGACTGGCTTTCTGACAAGCTGGTTTACCTTAATTAAACTGGTGAGTGATTAATATGGACAGCTGATCTTGTGGCTTTAATTAGATGCATTTAGAGTTTTGTGTGAATAAGAGATGTCTCGAACCATCCCATAGGTTAATGGCAATACAATACTCTTATCACAGGCATGTATCTTTCAAATGGCTGGGTGGATGGTTAATAACACATTTTAAAGCTTGATTTGAAACTTCTTTTAATGGGTTATTAGAAAACAAGCAAGTCAATGCCTATTTTGTATAAAACTGAATTTTCATAAAATATTTTCAAAAAGAGTGTTCAATGGTTTCATCCTGCTGTTTAGATATTTCCGTTACAAATAGATTACAGAAAGTTGAGCATAAAGAAGATTTCAAGGTGATTTTTAAAATAACGCATGAGCTATAGTGAAATTTTCTGTGATGTTGCTAAAAGTCTAGACCGTGTTGTGTCTCTATTGAGGGAGCTTGAGAGAGGGAAGCAAACATCCTGGTTCTTCCTTCCTCCAGGCAGAGTGCAGTGTCAAAGGTATGCTGAAAAACTCTTGAAATAGGTCCAGAATTTTCATAATTTACGGTTTTTAATAATTATATAGTGTATAAGTGTGAAAAAAGAAGGAAGAACTAATGTGACTTACCAAAGAATAAAGGAGTGGAAAATATAAATTAGCGAGTGTTCAAATCACATTAATAAGCAAGCGGGTTTGTCAGCTTCCTGCTCAGAAAGTGGAGTGGTGGTGCGATCTCACCAGGAAAGAGGACAAGCAGTTGGTGGTCGTATTCTTATTTCTTTACTTGAACTCGGCACGTCCTGCTCAGTTTCTCTCTTTTTGTTTCCCAGAGTGATTTAGGTTAAAAACGCAACTGTTTTTTTTTTTTAATTGCTAAAAGATGATTTAAGAATAACACCTTTTTCAAGTGTGACGTGATGTTGTGCCTCTCTCGGGCAGGACAAAGGTAATTTGCCTGAGTTTTTGAAAGGGTTTCTCGGTAAAAGGCAGTGGGCAGAGTGAGGAGACCTTGAGCCAGGGGGGTTGCTTGTTTACTCTCTGTAGTAACAAATCCACATTCTGCTGGAAAGGTCTAGCAAGCCATCTGCAAGTATTTAGAGTTCCTTGCTAATAAACTGAGTAATGTTTCCTTTTAGCCAAGGAGTGACAAAACCTTCTTGTAAAGGTGAGCGGCTGTTGGTAAACGCAAAGCTGAAGCTTTCACCTTTCTTCTCGTTATTTAGGAATGCAGCATAATTGAGTCTCTCTCGCTTTCAGCAGCAGCCCGAGGTGGCAGACGGTGCACGAGGTGCTGCATTTGCATTGTTTCCAAAGGAGCTTTATCAGCACCTTGTTTGCTGTTAGCGATGTGGGAAGGCCGGTGCCGCTTCCTCCCCTCTCCACATCCCGACTTGTGAATTCAAGGGCAGCGGCGCCGCTTGCCCGGTGCCGCGGGAGGCTTCGAGGCACCGCAGCAGCAATGACCCCAGCCTTGCCTGGCTTTACTGAAGGCTCTAGGAACAACAGAGCAAAAGTATTTCTTTTGCCCCAATTACATTTCTAAGCTTTGTCAACGAAAGTCTTTGCTGTGATGTACTATCAATCAACCTCTGCAGTGCACTGATTTGAATCAGTCTGGGAGGGCGAGGAAGAGCGAGGCTTTTGTCAGGAGGCTTCTATCAGCTCGAGGGAGGCCTTTGTCTCAACTGGAAATTCTTCGGGGTCTGCAAATCAGAAAAGGTCAGCAACTGGAGTATTAGAAACACTGATAGCTAGTGCATGAAAATGAGACCTCACCTCTAAAATGAAAATTGACCTCTAAAATGAGAAGTGAATCTCTATTATCCTTGAACAACACCCCGATGGCGTTTCTAAATCCCTCTAATTTTGTGCAATGCACTTTGCGTGCATCTCCTCGGCCGAGGAGCGGCTGCGAGGTGAACGGGCTGGCACGCGGTGGCCTCGGCGCTCGCGGGGCCGGCGGAGCCCTCGCTGCTCCTGCAGCTCCCCCAGCCTCCCGACACGCCGCGCGTGTCTCGCTTTGCTCTCTCGTTTGCAGTTGCTCATTGCAAGTTCTCCTGCGCCGCGAAATATTTCCCGTTTCCAGGAAACGTGCCCAAAACGCAGAGGGGAGTAGGAGCGTTTCCAGGTTCTCTTCCTGGCCTATGTGTCTTGCGCTTATCACTGCAGGGAAGATGTGAGGAGGTGAAGCAAGAGAGGGTATGTTTGAAATCCGAGCGTTTTGATGCTGAAATTGCCTAACCCAAACTGTGTCTTCACACATCATGGCTTAATGCTGATAGTGATTTACTTACACTTCCTAGTTAATAATTAGACAGTGGGAGACACCATATATCACTCTTAATGGAATATATGGGGTCTGATGAGAGTTTTCTGTTTTGACTAATAAATTTTAACCAGAATCACCAAGCTTAATGAAATATTGCAAGCCAGGAAGTGTTTTAAGTCTTGTGCTGAGAAAACACTGTTATTTTACTCAGTAAATGAATTTATCATTCATTCTGTATCCTGAGCCCTTGCTGGCTCTGGAGCATGGGCTGAATGCAAGACTGTGAACTAGAAAGCGGAAAAACTAATCAAATCCTTAAAGACCAAAGGCAGTGAGGCAGGTCTAGACTGACTTTTTCAGTGGTAGCCTCTGGCTACATTCACTTTTATTTTAGTAACCATTGTTAGCATGATTTATAACTTTAGCGTTAAGATGTACACTATTTAGATGTAATAAGATGCTTCGCAGCTTTTATTTCTATTTCCTAATTTACCTCTTGTCCCTGCCTTTTTTTATATATTAATTTTTTATTTCCTCCTCGCCTCGTCTCCTTCCCCCTGCGCTCCCCGGCGCTGTCCCCACGCTTGCCACGGCCGCTGCGTTGGAAGGGCCTTTCGCTGCAGCCCCGAGGCCGGCAGAGCGGTGATGGCCTCAGCTGAGGGCTGCTCTGCTGGTGGCTCCTCAGTGAGCTTGGTCTGGGGGCAGGAGGTCTGTACGTGGAGGAGAGGAGCCCCAGCAAACAGCAGGGTTCACTGAGTGGCACACGGGTCGGTCCCTTCGCAGCCACCATGTAAACGCTGCCTTGCCAGAAGGAGCGTGGTCCTGTCCACCAAACTCCTGCTCATCTCCCACCTACAGCAATAGGAACCTGCCTAATAAACACACCCTGCTCTAGCCAGGACAGACACAAGCTCTTGGTGGCACTCTGTAGTCTGCCAGTCCCTGGATTTGGGGAAACAAGTCCTGCTGAAAACGTCCTGTCTCTTAGTGCTGGAGGAGCTTTGGATGACAAAGCAGAGCTCTCCAGCCGGTCGGGTGCTGTCGTAGGGAGGAAGGCACTTTCCTGAGCGTTTGGCCAAATGCATCCAGGACACCATGGTGCTCTTAGTCCATCTGAGAAAGTCAAAGACAGCAATGGCACTGCCATTTGGAAGGATGTCAGCATTGACTAATCATGTTGCTGTGGTGGTCTCCCATCGTAAAGAATAAGAGCTTTGCGGGCTGATGTGATCGGATGCTCTGACCGAGACTGCTGGGAGCTGAGGTAGCTCAGTAGCAGTCTTGGTGCCGAAGTTCGGGCTGGGAAGGCATCCCGAAGATGCCCAGGATGCCTGGTGCCATTGCGTGGTGTCCTGGTTTGGCCTCTGCAGTTTGCCCTGCGCATTGCGCCGGAGCAGCAAGGCAAGACAGTGAACGTGTCCTGACGGTGCGGGGAAGGAGCGAAAACTTAGCGGCACCGTTCCTTGCTGCTGCTAAACCTCTCCCTCCCACCCTGCTTTTGACAGAATATTGACTAGAAACCAAGATCCCATTTCTGCCTAGCCTTAGGGGCAGCTGTTTGCCGAGTCGCGGTGTTACACAGGTTTACTGTGTCGTATGTCTGTGTAACACTGGATTTGGATCTTGTATTTAGCTGCCAGAAGTGACTGTGATGAAGTGGGAGAGATAAACTGATAGATTGTGTGCCAGAAAGATGTTGGGAATCAATCAGATAAACAGGGCAGAGAAATAGCTTGCCGTTTGCTAGTGATAATAAACCAGTGGCCTCTGTTCCTGAATTCTTAAGTGTAATTGCTGTAGTAATAATCTCCAAAAATAAACAAATTGGGGTGTGTGGGGAAGCAAGAGTCATAGGAAGGTTTTAATTGTGTTTTTCTCCTTCTTCTCATTCTGTATGATATATGCCTTGAAGGAGGGAAAAGCTGTGCATAAGTATAAAGATTTCCTCCGTTGATTGAGTCTTTACTATGCTTTTTTTTATTCTTAAATAGAAGTGCTACCCCTCTGCTTTTATGACATTTCCTCTGAGGGTGCCTGCCCGTTTTCCCCTTGTTTCAGGCAGGTACTTGGTGCTGGGGAGTGCAGGGTCCCCTTGTGTCCCCCAGGGAGCCTTGGGGACCATCATCATCTCTGTGAGCTGCCCTTTCCGTCCCCCCTGCTGCTTCCCGCTGCCTTCCCGCTGCTTCCCGCTGCTTCCCGCTCCCCTTGCCTTGCCCAGCGCCCAGCTGTGGTGGCAGCTCTGTTTTTGTGCCTGTTCTGTGCGGGGCACCGTCCATCTCTCCCGCTTAAGCAAAGCTGCAGTTTGGGGAGGAGGGATGTTCCTGCTTCCCCAGTCCCACCTCCTGGTGACCTGGTGGGGCTCAGAGCTCTGGGTCCGCTGCTCTCCCAGGTCCTTTGTGGGCTGGAGCTTCTCTAGGCAGTAAAATGATGTCATGTGGAGGGCCGTGCAGCGCAGCTGGGCAGGCTGGAGCCTGCTCTGTGTGTTGCTGTGCTGGCTCGTACCCAAGGGCGCGCGGTGGCCCCGGGCTGCAGCAGGGCAAAGGGACAGAGCCTGGCCCGCAAGACACGAGCGCTCGGCTCTGTTCTGCCGAGGGCTTCAGCCCCCCTTTCCTCCCAGCATAGGGAAAACTGGGGGTCCCTGCTCTCACTGGAGCTCTTGGGGGTGTTCCCGTGTTAGGAAGGGGCCGTCCTCGAGAGGTGACCGCAGTGGAGCAGGGCACGGGGGCTTCTGGGCCTTGCCAGTTGCTCGGGCTTTAGGTCATGGCCTCGCTTTGCTGCGGAGGATGCTCGGGCCGCGGCGCTGCCGGCTCTGCATGACCCTTTAGACCACGAATGGCACTGAGCTAAATGTCACCTGTACAAACTGCACGGAAGGAAGCACCCTGCTATTCCCCGATCCATCCAAAATTAACTTCTGTATTAGCTCTTCTAGGCGACCTTTGGTGTTATGCTCCACTCACGTGGTCTGTGGGGACTATTGTGGAAGGGGGGACAAACTGCAGCGCTTGGCACTTCTAGCCTCGTTGGTTGGACCCTTCTGGAGCCTTTGGCTCTGCTCGTCAGTCACACGTTATCCCTAGGAGAACTTCTTTGTGAAGAGGAAATGTTTGAAGACTTTTGGTTCTTGTCTTGGGGGTTTCAAGGAAGTTTCAGAAGCTGTAGCCCATGGATTGGGAATCTGGCAACTAATTTCTTAAGTCTTCTGAGAAATCTATGAAGCTGCTCTTTACCATTCTCTTAAATACGATTATTTTCTTTCTTCTTCTAGCTCCTTCGAGAACTTATTGAGCGTAAAACAAGCTCACTGGACCCCAACGATCAGGTAGCAATGGGCAGGTAAGTGGGGAGCAACCTGCAACATCCGTGGCTGGACTCGATGGGCTTGGGGGTCTTTTCCAACCATAATGATTCTGTGATCACCAGCTTCACCCCAGCATTGCATCCCTGTTCCCTCTAGAAGACCAAATTGTGAATGACTCTGGAGAGAACATCTGGGTGTAATAAATTGCCAAACAGCTGATTAAAGCAATATGGCCTTAATTAAGTCATCCTCTGTACCTTAGTTATGGATCATCGTGCCAGAATCACCAGACTCTGGACATTACAAGGGAGTTTTGCCCTACTCTGGTAAGCAGGGGCTGGCTGAAGTGACCACCTGCTGCTGAAATTGGGTATTTCAGCATTATGAGCTCTGATTTCTCAATGCATCAGGGGAGCAGACCTGAAGTGAGATCAGTTAAAACAATTCCTCTGCATGCTTTCTGCCTGCTGCAAGAAAAGATAGAAGTACAATTAAAACACCATCGGGGAATGTTTTCTTTATGCTAAAAGTCAAATATAATTCTTTGCAGGAAAGCTCTTATTTCTCACTTTAATTCTGTGTTTAGAAATTAAAAAATATTCCAAATACTGCTTATAGAACAGGATACATTTAAATAACTATGGGCTATTATTTAGAAAAGCAGCAAAGTAAAGGAAGGCTGAAAATGCTGGAATAAGGCTGTCCACTGAAAAAGTACTGTGGGTTTGTGTATGGCAAAGGGGAGAAAATGCTTTAGGAAGTTTTAGGGTTGCTGAAATAACTCTTATTCTTTCAAAATATTACCCAAATTTTAGTGCAATGTGTCAGATTTATTTTTGGTATGTCTGAAATATTATGGAAAGCTATTCACTATAATTTAATATGATATAGGCAAAATTACATTTAAGTGGTGATTACATTGTACATTTATCTCACTTTACAATAAAATAGATTACAATAATTAAAATTATATTAAGAGTGCAGTAATTGGATTTTGCTGGATTTTTTCCCTGATGTCGAGTTTTCATTGTATAAATCAGGTAAGATGATGCTCGTTTTCATAAATACATACATATATATATATATATATATATATATATTTATAACTATCAGAAGTTTTTCCACACTGAAAACTTCCTTGACTTGATGAGGTTTTCTGTTTGAGAAGTAGAGCTCCTTTCTAAGTACAGGTAGGGATCAGACAGCACTTTCTGAAATTGTTTATTGCTTTCTTCTCTTTTTTAGCTTTGCACAGTAATAGATGGAGCATTATATAGGGCTTCTTGCTGAGATTTGCCAGGTTTAATAGTCAGAGGTGTTGGAGAGAAATACTTGCTTGTAATTTTCAATATGCTTTGCAAAACTAAGGGAGAAAATAAATTCAGAGCATCTACTGCGTCACGGTAATTCTGTTCATGAAGTTAGAATAACCTATCTCACTTAAAGAATCAGTTTAAGATCTGGCAGACCATCTATTCTGTTATGGGCTTTCTATATGCAAAATACAAGTCATTCTAATAATCAGTGCTGAAACAAAAAAGCAATACCTTTAGAGACAATTTTACAGATTTTAGCATTTATATTTGGTAAAGATTTTCTTCTTAATTCTAAAGATTCTTGAAAAATATCAGTAATCAAAATGGATAAAAATGGAGCCAAGCTTGTGTCCTCCATGGGTTTCCCTGCAGGTGGAATATTCTTGGTGATTAGTGATCACTTCATTGGCATCAGCTGGTCTGGTCTGTGTTTTCCCTTTATGGCTGGAGTGAGGGAGGGTGCCTATTACTGAAATTCCATATTCTTGGAGAGAAGCAGCACCACAGGCATTTGGAGCTTCATACCTGCTTTCTTGAGCTTCTTGGTCTCCTTCACTTTCGTAGCTGTAATAGGTAGAAGTTGCTCCTTAAGGCCCAGTGTACCTAATGCATATTTGTGTACTTATTTTAACTGTCACATAACTGTCCCTGTGCTTTCTTCAGACAGTGGCTGGCCATCCAGAAGTTACGAAGCAAAATAAAGAAGAAAGTGGACAGAAAAGCCAGCAAAGGAAGGAAAATACGGTGGGTGACAATTTGCACCAGAATATATCCAAAAGTTTGGGGTTTTGGAAGATAAAATCTGACTGCCTTGTGCTGGGTGTACTGTGGCATTCCTACCTTTTGCAATGTGTATTTAACTACCTAAAATGTGGCGAGCAGCTCTAGGAAATACTACAGAAGTGATAAAATCTGACTGCCTTGTGCTGGGTGCACTGGTGGCATTCCTACCTTTTGCAATATGTATGTAACTACCTAAAATGTGGAGAGCAGCTCTAGGAAATACTAGAGAAATACTCAAGTGAGGTAAGTGTCTATTTCCCACGGACTGGAATTTGGTGTGTAATCTTCAAATACTGTTACAAATCTCAGCACAGCTTAACTTGGCTCCGCTGCATTTCACGTTCTACCTCCCGGGTCACTAATTTGGGTTGGTGTTTCCCATTGTATTTCTGTTGGAAGAGTCGTCCGTGCTGCAGTGTGGAAAGAGGAGCAGCATGGAGAGGATTTTTCCCCCTGTTGCAGAGCAGATACATTAGTCTCCCTGAGTTTAGCGTGACTGCATGATTTGTAGCGGAGGAGGCGTTTGTGGCAGGGAGGCATGCTGAAAAGCTGCTCCGCTTCCTGAAAAATCCGCAACATTAACCATCCTTTTGTGAGTAAACTATAAATCGTGAGTTTAGATGGCATCTGATAGAAAGTCAGCGGAGTCAGTCTGGGTCAGGCCTGGCATAGCAATTTTTAAGATAGATGTCATAAGATAATTTATTAAAAGAGGGAAGAGCTACTTTGTTGGCCTGAAAAGCCTATAATTATTGACTATCAATATTCTTTTCTGTCAGCATCACACATAATTGGATATATTCATGATTCAGTCAAAACTACTGACAACATCACACAACTGAGTCAGACTCGTAAACCTCGAGGAATAATGGGGCAGTCTCTCAGCACGCCAGCATCCCTGGGAGAGCTGCTATCTCCCCGTGTCAGTCGCCTCTTACAGCTCGGGTACAGGTTTTTCTTTTCTAAATAAAAGTTGCACTGACCCCCTCAGGGAAAATACCAATAAAAGAGCAATGTGTCAGGGACTGTGTTTTGGATCGACATGCAGTTAAGGTCCAGCATCTTTCCAGAACAGTCCTGGGGCTGCAGTGCTTAGTGGGGCTTTTTTTGTTTGTTTTTTTTTTTGGTAAAGCTCTTTGAGGTCCTGGAAAACAGAGGGACCTGTGTGAAAGGGTGTGTGCAGGGCCTGGAGAATTGGCCTGAAATAGATTCTTGTGAGCTAAAAATTCCCTCCAGCAAAAGTTCCTGCATAACTAGGCAGAGGGGACTATGGAGATGACAGAGTGGAAGGGTGATTCTAGGCAAATGCTTATGAATCCTTTTGTGTGCTCCCTGTAAGGCTCTGAAAGTACCAGCACTTTGGATAAAACACTTCAGATGTGTAGCCAGCGTGGTTGTATACACCAGAAGCCATTGGTCTGGGGCCTTGCACCCTTCAACACAAGGCCTGAAGCCAGCTTCTCATTCTGAGTTTTTCAGTACCCTGTTAAATGATGTATGTCGTGTCGTAGAATATAAGCAGTGAAGAGCCACTGTCTGCAAGTTCCCAGCGCAGGGTGGAAAGCTGGACCCGGCCGAAGGAGCAGCTGGGTGCAGAGCGGCTCTGTCCTGGCTTCCCGGGCATCTCTGCCGTTGTGTTTGTACTCACATGCAGTTCCTGGAGGCTGCACATCATCTGCCTGGCTGTGAGTCAAGGATTTGCTTGTTAGTCAGCTATTCAGCACGTCCTATCATCTGATTACTCTGCTAAGCGTGTTGTGAGAAAGGAGGAGGAGGGAAGAGAGGAGGAACTGCCAACTGCAACTAGTGAGTCATTAGATACCAGCCACCAGGAAAGCCAGTACTTTGCATTTCAGACACTGTTACGTTTCTATTTGAGCAGCACCATTTCCTTTTCATTAATAGTTCCTAATGTGCTGCCTGCTTATTTCCTGCATTATTCAGGTACCATGTCCATAGCAAGCTGGTGAGCTTCATGGCACCTATTGACCACTGTACAATGAATGATGACGCCAGGTGAGTAATAGATTAATTATGTTTCTCAAATGGCTTCATGACAGCGTGATATTGACCTGTTCTTCAGTCTGTCGCCCTCTCCATTTCTTCTTATCAGTTAACCATTTGTCACTGGCATCATAGCCTGGGTGTCTTGGTCACATCTGTCCAGGCAGTCTCGCTGAGCTTTCACTCTGTAATTACTGTGACACCGCACGAGAAGTTTTCATAAATCTTGATATGTACATTTTGATTCCTGCTTTAAAATTCTTCTGGCTTTGAAATAGTTTTTTGAATCAGAAATTTCAAATGTTTACAATTCTATTTACTCTCTATTCAGCTATTAACTGGACTAATTAAGATTCCCTCAAGGCCTAAACATTGCTTGCATTTATTTCTATTGGTAAAGAATTTTCTTAGAAGACTATAATGTCTTAACCTGTAAATTAATAAGGAAATTTCAGTGCAGCTATATGTGTAGTTGCTAGATAGTATTGCACATATAAACCTGTATTTCTTGGGCGTTACGTTGCTAAACTACATCTCCAAATGTTCAGCTTTTTGTGGGAAGGAGGTGGTATATTTTTTTGCAGTGAATGGATGTGGAAGGCTTGAGAAACACCTTTCCCCTGGGTTGTGAACATGTTTGTGCTCTGTGGAAGTGGGAGAGACGTCATTCATCTGCTTGGAAAATGCCAAGCGATGCCTGCTGCTCTCGGCCTGTTGCCTTGTGCAGTTTTGCACAGGTTTCTGGGTAGGAGTTCATTTTGCATCCATAATAGCACCTTGCTGTTTCATCATAGGAGTGCTCTTTCTCATAGTTTTTTTTTTTTTTTTCCTTTTATTTTTTAATGGGAAAATGCTTTAATTTCTGAATATGGTCTAGGTCCTCTTGCCCCAGGAAGAAACGTGCTGGCAGTGTGGAGTGAGAGCTGTTCCCCCGGCCGCACAGAGTGGTCAGTTCACTCCCCCTTACCTGGATCCCAGGAAAACAGGCACCCAGGTGCTGCTAGAGCCAACAGGACCCTGCGTGTGTCGTGCTGGCCTCGTGGCAGGGACAGTGTGGTTGACACCTGTGTCACTGAAGAGGCCTCCCGAGGGTTTTCTCCCCTGAGCAGGTTATTACATCTCGTTACAGGCTCTTTGGGGCAGCAACGTGGCAAGAGCAGCTGCTGCTTCCTCTCCAGCTGCAGGAACTTAGTTCCTACGTGAAGTTTCCAAGTCGCTTCGGAGAGCCACCAGTCTGGTTGTTAATGGCATTGAGGTCTCAGCGCCTCGTGTTGGTTTATCCTTCTAGAATGAAGCTCTCGGTTAACGTGTTTGCACATCAGCCAGTGTCCTGGGGGTCAGGTGCTGGGGACAGCGGTGTCCCCTTCTGCCAACACTGGGGTTTCAAGAACAACTTGCGCCTGGATGGAGCAGTCTTGGAGGCCTGAGTTAGCCCATCCTGCACTGTTCTGGATGGGCCTTAAAGCAGAAGCAAGAACGGCCTCCCTGGAGGCTCCCTGTGCAGTGTTGGCATGGCTGGGGATGCCAGGGGTTTGACACGTGGGGTTTTCCACCCGCTGCTCCTGCTGGCTGGGGAAACAAAGAGGAAATGCCCCAAGAAGCAGCCGGAGCGCTGGGTAGAGACGTGACGAGCGGCGCCTCCGCGTTTCTGCAGCCTGGATTTGAGCAAAGAACCACGCAGAACGGTGCCTTTGTCAACACC